ATTGAAGATTAATGCTCAGATATGAAAAACAATGAACATATGTCTACTTTGAGTTTTATTTGCAACGGTTTTCTAAAAAGAAAATCTATGCCTGGAATAAAATCATCCCTTATCATAATTTAGTAAGTAGTCTTTCATGAAAATAAACTAATGCTTATTCTAAAATAACAAAATTAAACAAAATTACAATATTAGCAAAAAAAAAAGTCACAGTATAGTTGACAAAATGTTTTCTTATGTAATAAACACTGTAAAGAAGTGTTGTTAAGTGCCTTCGAGTTGTTTCTGACTCATTGTGACTCTGTATAGAGTTTCTGAGGAGCAGCTGGTGGGTTTGACCCACTGGCCAAGAGGTAAGCAGTCCAGTGCTTATCTTACAGCACCACACCAGCATTCCAGAAATAACTGTTGTTGTTGTTGTTGTTAAGTGTCATTGTGTCCATTCTGACTTGTTATGACCCTGTAAGTGCTTTCTGAGGAGCAGCTGGTGGGTTTGAACTATTGATCTTATGGTTCAAAGTCCAGTGCTGATTCTACAGCTTAGCATCAGGAATCTGTAGAAATAACTAGAGTAAGGTAAATCAAAGTACACTAAGCTAGGAAGCTACTCCTCAGAAACCCTATACAGGCTTGCTATGGGTTGGAACCAATTTAACAGCACTTAAAAACAACAACAACAAACTAAGCAACAGGAGAAAGGAGAGGATTTACAGCCTTGGAAACTCTGTACAGGGTCACTATGAGTCACAACCTACTGGACAGCACTTAGTAACAACAAACTAAGCAAGTCAGTAATACTAGGTGCTGAGACCACTAATGCATTGTTCAGGGCCAGAGTGGGTATATCACTATGACTTCACCTTCATACAGTTTCCTGAAATATTCACCTTACAATTTGTGAGGGTTGTGCACCTTCCAACATCACTCTGCTTCCCTAGTTTTGAATATATAACTGAGGCATTTACATAATTTTCCACATTGAAGTGTATTATTTCCAGATCAGCTGTAGCCCCAGTTCCTTCTGTCCATTTGCTTTTAGTTTACAGTCAAGCTAGACTAAGTGAGGATGCCCACGCTAAGTAAAACAGCTGCTGTTGGATAATAAAGTCTGCATCAATCCAGTCCACAACATCCTCAAGGAAATGCTTCATAATAATTAAGTTTCTTTAAATTAACAGGTTTTTTTTTTAAAGAAAATGCATCATTGAAAAACCAATTTTAGGAAAAGAAATGAACTTTATAACTCATCAGGCATTAAGAATGCCAACGTCAACCTGATATGGTCCTTTATTTCAAGTAGAAATGAATCATTAGTAGTCAGCTAAATTTTGAAAGGCTACAATTAAAGTCATTGATAATATTTAATCATAACATATTCAAAAACATTTATTACTAGTGCTGTTAAGATTCTGGCGGAAACAATTGCTTTTGGTGTCCCATTCATATATCCATATATGTTGTTGTTAAGTGTGTTTGAATTGTTTCCAACTCATAGCAATCCTGTACAGGGGTTCTGAGGGGTGGCTGGTGGGTTTGCACTGCCAATCTTGTAGTTCACTGTCTATTGGTTATCCTACACCACCACCACAGCACCTCAGAGCTTTTAGACAACAAATAGCTGAGGTTTAGGCCTGGCCTTCTTGGAAAAGTTCAGTGTTTGTTCCAGGAAATAAAAGAGAATGTAACATCTGCCTAATAAGAATCAGCAGATATTGGAAGAACATGATGAAGAATGAATCATAAAGGATCTTGAAACAAAATACAACTAGTGATCAACCTGATGTGAAGGAACAGTAACCTGAGATCAAAAAATATGTTGTTGTTGTTGTTGTTAGGTGCCATCAAGTTGGCACCGATTCACAAAGATCCTATGCACAACAGAACGAGATACTGCCTGGTCCTGGGTCATAAATATACGCAGTGGTAAATGGTTTGGTTGGCTGCTCAGGGGGCGTGGAAGGAGTAAGACTAGAAGAGTCCTAGAAAAGAAGCCCAGACAAAAAGTCTTAGAAGTGTGGATGGATCCATGGGAGTAACTACAAAATGTACATGTTTGTCTGACATCAATGACCAGTAGAAAGAACTTATGACAGAGAAAGCACTAAACATTCAAGTAAACAATATGGTTTGTCCATTGGAGGATATCCAGTTTCTGCTGTAGCTAGCATGTTGTTTGTATAATAAGCTCATGAACTGTGCACCCTGGTGGCGATATAGAGGATACACATAGGCCTAAACAGCTCATTCTCACTGTATTTGCTACACCTACTCCAACTGGTAGCAGAGAGGATTATTGGCTGGGCTGATAACTGCGAGGTCAGCTGTTCAAATCTACCAGTAGCTCTATGGGAGAATGATGAGGCTATCAGCATTAGACACGCTATACAGAGTTGCTATGAGTCAGAATTGAAGCCACGGCAATTCACCACCACCACAATCACTGGTAAATGAGCAACCTGTTGAAAATAGTGCAATGTTAAGTCCTCAACATGGTATCACCTCTCAAAATTTGTCACTACATGGCAAATTGATTATATTTGATCTCGATGTTGTTGTTGCTAAGTATTGTCAAGTTAATTCAGGGCTCCCAAGGGTTGGCTGGTGTGTATAAACCAATGACCTTGTGGTTAGCAGTCCAGTGCTTATCCTACAGCACCATACCAGGATCCATTAGAGCTCTTAGGTCTTGGGAAGCAAGACCAAGCCAACTGTTTTGGAGCCAATTCTGACTCATAATGATGTTCATAGGCCTTGAATGAAGGTGAATTTTGCTTTTCTTATTATTCATATATGTTATTGATACATTCTGCTGCAGGTTAGGCATTAGGTTATTCATTGAAAAGTTGGCAGTTCAAATCCATCAGCCACTCTGCAGGAGAAAGATGTGGCCATGTGCTCCCACGAAGATGTGCAGCCTCAGAAACAGCGCATAAAGTTACTATGGGTTGGAATCGATTCAATGGCCATGGGTTTCAGTATTTTTTCTTGCTAGGGGAGCTGGGGTGGGCAAGGATTATTGATACCCTTTATTATAAGTTCCTTTCCTATACAAAGTGATTCATCTAGATTCCACTAATCTCTAAGGTTCACACAGTGTCAGACTTGTCATAATGACATTCGGTTTAATATCTCCTCAAACCACACAATGCATTATATTGCAATGGGGGGGTCCAATAATGAACACGTGACCATAGGATCCCCTTGGATATATACTGCATCACTAGAGATTGGCAGCTTGATAGAACATTTTGATAATCTTTTACACATGCAACTAGGACGCCAACTTCCAATGACACTTTTGGTTTCGGTTGTCTTTTAAGACTTAATTGTACACAACAACAACAACAACATGGTTTCGGTTGTCTTTTAAGACTTAATTGTACTTCTGAGAAATCTGTACCTAGACCAAGA